TGCAGTTATCAGACCTGTTTCTGCTGCTCCTTTCCCATGCAGAACCTCTCCCTTTCACCCCTTTCATCCCCACACCTCCCCTCTGCACCCCAAAGCTGCCCCCCTCCTTTCAGATATCCCTCATACTGGAAAGGGACTTCAAGTATAAGCACCCAACACTACCGATTTTCATACTGATTTTGAAAGATGGAGTAGTCTCTTCAAGGTCATATAGTTTAGTCTGAACTGATTGTAAATTTTTTTTTGCTGTTTTATCTACAGACCTTCTATGAAGAAAGAAACTACAAATAAATGATTTAGTTTTCTTTAAGCTTGACCACATATATTTACAATAAAACAAACTTAAATCTTCAAGCTTCAAGCTTCAAAATTGATCAAAACAGTCTGTCAGTGAATTACGATAAGGAATTACATCAAATGCTGCAACAGACAACTGCATGCAGTCTCCCCTAATCTGTACATTGACAGATCACATAGTCACCTTAGCCATCTTCAGACAAGAGGGAAAAAAAAGGCCCTCTTCTCAAAGCATTTCAAGTTTAAAGACAATAGAGAAGTTTTTTTTTTCCCTTGCCTAAAACCTTCTACATGTCTCAGTATCACTAAAAGAATGAAGTCTATTACAAACAACCATGTTCAGGAACGCTGACACTAGTAGCTTGTACTATTGACACGTTCTCTTACAGGAGCTGTGTGTTCTGTCTATTACAATAAATGAAGTCTATGAAGTCTAATGAAGTCTATTACAAATGTTCAGGAATGCTGACACTAGTAGCTTGTACTATTGAAACGTTCTCTTACAGGAGCTGTGTGTTCTGCCCTGACAAACCATCCCACCACCTAAAAGCTGCCTAGATCAGGGCCAGAACCACCAGAGTTGTCTCCACCCGACCCTGCCCTCCCTTAAAGCTTATTCCACGTCAGGGAGGTTCGTAACCAAGCGGCAAACCCTTACCTGGCAAATGATGTCTCTATTGGTAACACGTACAATCATCCTATACTTAGGAGTGTTGTACTTGTTTTTATCTTGGATCACCAGACGCTTTCTGGCATAATAATCAGTTTTTCCCTCTGAAAAACATCAGTTACAGTGTAGAAAATGTGTAAGAAAAGTAGCAATACACACCCATGTCTTAAGTGCTATAGGAAATTTAACTATACCTCTTCTTCTCCTGAACTTCACTTGGTATCGCTTGAAGTAGGCCTTATTCTTGACAACTTTCACAAACCCCTTGAATAAGAAACACAACTGGCGGTTATTAACGTACAGCCCAGCCGGGCAGCAGCCACCGCAGCCAG